TTTAAAAACTATAGCCAAGCTATATATACAATTTGAATACCCAAAAGAATAAAATCGATGAGATTTTTTCAAACAAATTCTGTGAACATAGTTTTTTTTGTTTAATGGTTTCCCATTTTTTACGTTCATGGTTTTGTCTATTGAATTTCTTTTTTTTCTTTTTGTATTTTCATCAGAAATTGATTTCAGTGTTGATTCCGTCCAAGGCCTTGACAATCACATACAATTTAGTTTTCTATCTTGAGCTCTTCCTTATTAGAAGGATCTTTAGATGGAACGTAACTTGGGGCGAGGCTCAACGATATCGTCTTTCCTGGTCACACAATTGTGATGGAGAGTTTCGTAGTAATAGAATCAAGGACAAAAGCCATGGGGAGGCTGTGGTTTGACCCTTGACCTCTATGTCTTTGACAGGTTTTGGTGTCCCTCTACAGTCTGTATTTTGAAAAGAAGGTTAGACTAAAGTTCATATTACATCTCCAGGCAAAGTCAGACAATCCTTTCTTTATTAAAACCTCAATTGTCACATACAACACATCATGATTAGGATCGACTCTCTGAAGGTCATAGACCCATAATTGGTTGTGTGTGCCTCTTTGAGAAAAATCCTTCCTGAAAAATAATTTGTGATTTTAATTATTTTTTTGTCATCTAAGTCTCATCATTGTTTTCTATTTTCTTAAGTTTCAATGTAATTTTCCTCACACTCTTTTAAATTAAAGAAAGGAAATTGAATTGATTAAGTTTCTGTCTTATGTTGTACCTATACCCTTTGTAATATGACTTGAGAGAGTGTGGCTAGATAAGACAGTTATCACCCTAATTCTGAAATCGTGTTATGTCTTGAGGGCACACAAATCTTGAAAACCGTTGTAGTTTAATGTATTACAAACTTTACAAAAGGAACACATTTTCTCCCTTTTGAGATTGAAATAGTTTCAAGTAGGTTTATCCCAATTTGATGTTTTGACTGACACATTGTTTGTGGATTGTTGAGCTGTGGTTGTGTACTGTAGTTATAAACTGACAAAATGGCTTTGTATCCAGAATTCTGCATGTAGAAAATTTTCTGTTCATTTCTTTCTGTATTTATCTTGATACAATAAGCCCAGAGTGTAGACACATAATCTTGAAATAAAATTTGGAAAGTGGGCTTATTACAGGACAATGTAAAAACCATATGTTTGCATTGAACAGATGTTGTAAACAATAATTGTACAACTTCAGAAAACTTTTCTCCCAATCCTTTCTAAGTAAACAGATTTTGATATTGTAGATTTATGGATGTTATTATATATCCAAGCAACATTAACATATCGCTAATTGCAATTTAATTGAAAACTTTAATTTGGTGGTTTTCACCCCAGGAAAAGCCAGTGTCATTCTGACATAGGGTTTCCATATAATAACACCATCGGCTACCTCATGGAATAACATACAAGAGGTCCGTTACATGCAGTCCAAAGTAAAACAGGTGAATTCATTATGCACAACGATGTAACCATGAGAGCACAGTCTATTTCTCCACTTCCTGTGAAACACAAACTGCCAGTGGTAGGGAGCTCCAAGCAAACACTTCAGGTCACCATCTAAAGTTATGTTCGCTAACACTCTCTTGACTATCATAGATAGGTCTACAAATTGTTACAGAAACATTTTGTACGAAAGCAAAAAAAAAATCTCTTACAGATTGATGTGGAATAAATATGGTTCTGAACTTGATACACCCTACACAAACCATTTCTATATCACTCAATATTATCCTTGATACAGTCTGCTGACCTTTTCATATCATTTGAATCTTAATAGTGGTTTCCCCAAGTATCCAATGTCTTCGAGACGTATTGTATTGTTAAAGAATTTGCTTCATTTCCTGATTGGGAATACCAGTGGGATATTATGATTTGTGTAACTTAGATAATACATTATGTAAGCACATTGTACAGATGGGTTATACGAAACTAGAATTCATAAAAGTCATATTAAATGTAATATATTTCTGTTTCAGATATGAATCAATATAGAGTTTGTACATTTGCTTTAAAGTTTATACTGGTGCTGAAACAATTGGTGTTGCTTAATCAATATTCTGGATTCAGATTCAATACTAACAACTTTTTGTTGCATTTTTGGTCTGTCAACTGCCCAGTTTAGCTATTAAAACATACTTACCATAGAGACAATTGACAACTTTATATAACTGATGTTTTGGTTTTTAAGTTAACTAAACAGCATTATAAATTATATGTATGGGCGGGCTTAATAGCTGGCAAGTGCTTATTGCCAAATGACTTTAAAAATTTTTTAACTGTTAGCCTTTACTTATTTCAAACCTCATTCTTATTCAGTTGAGTATTGGGCACCTTTATTCTCACATTGTGTCTCATAAAGTCAAATACTTCAAAGCAGTTGATTTGTTCTTTCAGAAAACTGAAAAACCAGGCTTTGTGGGATTTCTAAGCACTGAACATCAAGTTGTCACCAGAGGGGTTCAGGTGTAACTTTGTTACCGTGAATATGTCAAATCTATCTTGGTCAGCACTGTGTGTTTGAGTATACATAACCATCAGGGGAATCCGGGATCAAATGGATTACCATCGTTCGTCTCCAGGAAAGACGCAATATGATCTTAAGACATGATTCAATCTCCTTCAACGTCAAAGGTTTGTTTTTGAATATATATCTAATGCTTAATCCCAATGGGGTGTACAGCTATTCACTTATTATATATAGCATAGAGAAAGTCATAGCTTTTATTGTAAGAACCTAGGTTTGAGGGTCGTCCAAGTTACCCAATTTAAGATTCGTGCATTCAATGAAAGATAACTAATCCAATTATCAGCAATATATATATATACTATAGATGTATTTAGAACTTTCTTCTAATAAAAACTACTGGTAAAACAGTATTGGAAGTTGGAGGGTAAAACTGTATTAGAAGTTGGAGGGTAAAACTGTGTTGGAAGTTGGAGGGTAAAACTGTGTTGGAAGTTGGAGGGTAAAACTGTGTTGGAAGTTGGAGGGTAAAACCGTGTTGGAAGTTGGAGGGTAAAACCGAGTTGGAAGTTGGAGGGTAAAATGATGATGTAATTTGGTTGGTAAAACAGAGTTTTGAGTATGAGGTTGCAACAGTGATGTATGTACCATTAGACAGGTAAAACAGTACATGTTGTAAGTGGAAGGATGAAACATTGTTGTAGGTTGGAGGATAAAATGGGTGTTATTGTAAGTTGAAAGTAAAACATTGTAAATTGGACAATGAAAAAATATTGTGAGTCTGAGGTAAAAAAGTGTTGTAAGTTGATAGGGTGAAACACGGTGTACGAAGTTGGATGGCTAAACTGTGTTGTAAGTTGGTAGGGTGAAACACGGTGTGGGAAGTTGGATGGCTAAACAGTGTTGTAAGTTGGGAGGGTGAAACACGGTGTGGGAAGTTGGATGGCTAAACAGTATAGTGAGTTGGTAGGGTGAAACACAGTGTAGGAAGTTGGATGGCTAAACAGTGTTGTAAGTTGGTAGGGTGAAAGACGGTGTGGGAAGTTGGATGGATAAACAGTGTAGTGAGTTGGTAGGGTGAAACACGGTGTAGGAAGTTGGATGGCTAAACAGTGTAGTGAGTTGGTAGGGTGAAACACGGTGTAGGAAGTTGGATGGCTAAACAGTGTAGTGAGTTGGTAGGGTGAAACACAGTGTGGGAAGTTGGATGGCTAAACAGTGTAGTGAGTTGGTAGGGTGAAACACGGTGTAGGAAGTTGGATGGCTAAACAGTATAGTGAGTTGGTAAGGTGAAACACGGTGTAGGAAGTTGGATGGCTAAACAGTGTTGTAAGTTGGTAGGGTAAAACACGATGTGGGAAGTTGGATGGCTAAACCGTGTAGTGAGTTGAAAGATAAAACTGTATTTCAAGCTAGAAAGTAAAATAGTATTGTGAGTGAGAGGATAAAAATGTGTGGCAAGGACAGAATGATACCCACGTCTAGGTATGATAATAGTTGCTTTTATTTAACAGTCATTTTATGTGATGAAATTTAACACTTAGACATCGTCAATATTGTGACTGTTACTTCAGACATCACCATTGTTCTAATTTCTCAATTAAGGGTCCCAGGTGCTTGAACATTTCTGGTAGGAAATTCTTATATCAGACTGTCTTGTATTACTGACAGCTTCGCAGTCTTGCCGCGTAAATCGTATTTGAAAGATTAGATTATGATGCTATGCGGGGACAGATTGAATTGTCTTTATGAGGCCCTCTTGGAGCTGTGATGTTCACCTCCCCCTTTCATGTGTCTGCGAAAACACTAAACCTTTAACTAAAACATGAATGTGAATCAAGAAATATTCAGATTTTTTCCTTGGTTGGCTTTCTTTAGTCAAAATCTGTCAGGGGACATTTTAGAAGCTCTGTCAGCATAATTATATGAATAAAGATTATTACTGTGTTGGCATACCTAGCTTCAAGATCTGGTGCTCCTCTTGTCTTTTTAGCCTAAGATTATTTAAGAAGACATTTAGCTGTGTTAGGTTGTGAAATGGTTACAGAACTGTAAAATTTTCAGTTTAATTTTTTCGTTGGTTTAATTACTTTTAAAAAGTGAAATTATAAATCTATTTTCGTCAGATTGATGTCTTTTAAAAAATCTCTTGACATTCCATTGTGAATAAATGTTATTTGAAATTTCTGATTTTTTTTCCATGAAATGCGGGATAAGATTTGGTATCTTTGCTATGATTTTTCTCTGATCTTTACCATCCAATCCTACTGGCGTCTTCTCAATGGCTTGTGGAAATCTGTAGCTCTTAACATTGTGTAAATATTGAGACAAAGCTTGAAGCACATGAAGGAGTATTACATGTGAAAACGTCAACTTAGTGTGTGTAAAGGCTTCATATGTATATAAACATTTACCGATGTGTCAGACATGAGGAACTCCTACACCTCCTGATTAGTGAAAACATATTTGATTCTATATATATTCAAAATAATCTTATTTCCCAGTGTGCCTACTACAGATAAGTGAGAGGGGAAGGAGTGGGGAGGAAAGGGGAAAAGGGGCTCAAGGATACTACAGACAAGTAAGGGGGAAGGACGGGGAGGAAAGGGGAAAAGGGGCTCAAGGATACTACAGACAAGTAAGGGGGAAGGAAAGGGGAAAAGGGGCTCAAGGATACTACAGACAAGTAAGGGGGAAGGAAAGGGGAAAAGGGGCTCAAGGATACTACAGACAAGTAAGGAGGAAAGGAAAGGGGAAAGGGGCTCAAGGATACTACAGACAAGTAAGGGGAAAGGAGTGGGGAGAAAATGGGAAAATGGGCTCAAGGATACTTCAGACAAGTAAGGGGGAAGGAGGGGGAGGAAAGGGGAAAATGGGCTCAAGGATACTACAGACAAGTAAGGGGAAGGAAGGGGAGGAAAGGGGAAAAGGGACTCAAGGATACTACAGACAAGTAAGGGGGAAGAGAGGGAGGAAAGGGGAAAAGGGGCTCAAGGATATAACATACAAGTAAGGGGGAAGGACGGGGAGTAAAGGGGAAAAGGGGCTCAAGGATATAACATACAAGTAAGGGGGAAGGAGGGGGAGGAAAGGGGAAAAGGGGCTCAAGGATATAACATACAAGTAAGGAGGAGGGACGGGGAGGAAAGGGGAAAAGGGGCTCAAGGATACTACAGACAAGTAAGGGGAATGATGGGGAGGAAAGGGAAAAGGGGCTCAAGGATACTACAGACAAGTAAGGGGAAAGGACGGGGAGTAAAGGGGAAAAGGGGCTCAAGGATACTACAGACAAGGGGGAAGAGAGGGAGGAAAGGGGAAAAGGGGCTCAAGGATACTACAGACAAGTAAGGGGAAGAGGAAAGGGGAAAGGGGAAAGGGGCTCAAGGATACTACAGACAAAAGGGGGGGAAAAGGGGCTCAAGGATACTACAGACAAGTAAGGGGGAAAAGGAAAAAAGGGGAAAAGGGGCTCAAGGATACTACAGACAAGTAAGGGGAATGATGGGGAGGAAAGGGAAAAGGGGCTCAAGGATACTACAGACAAGTAAGGGGAAGGAGGGAGGAAAAGGGGAAAAGGGGCTCAAGGATACTACAGACAAGTAAGGGGGAAGGAGGGGGAGGAAAATGGAAAAGGGGCTCAAGGATACTACAGACAAGTAAGGGGAAGGAAGGGGAGGAAAGGGGAAAAGGGGCTCAAGGATATAACATACAAAGGAGAGGACTAAAGGGGAAACAAGCTCAAGGGGGAAAGGAGGGGGAGGAAAGGGGAAAAGGGGCTCAAGGATACTACAGACAAGTAAGGGGAAAGGACGGGGAGGAAAGGGGAAAAGGGGCTCAAGGATACTACAGACAAAGGGGTAAGGGGAAAAGGGGCTCAAGGATACTACAGACAAGTAAGGGGGAGGAGGTTAAAGGGGAAAAGGGGCTCAAGGATACTACAAACAAGGGGGAAGAGAGGGAGGAAAGGGGAAAAGGGGCTCAAGGATACTACAGACATGTAAGGGGGAAGGAAAGGGGAAAAGGGGCTCAAGGATACTACAGACAAGTAAGGAGGAAAGGAAAGGGGAAAAGGGGCTCAAGGATACTACAGACAAGTAAGGGGAAAGGAGTGGGGAGAAAATGGGAAAATGGGCTCAAGGATACTACAGACAAGTTAGGGGAAGGAAGGGGAGGAAAGGGGAAAAGGGACTCAAGGATACTACAGACAAGTAAGGGGAAGGAAGGGGAGGAAAGGGGAAAAGTGACTCAAGGATACTACAGACAAGTAAGGGGGAAGGAGGGGGAGGAAAGGGGAAAAGGGGCTCAAGGATACTTCAGACAAGTAAGGGGGAAGGAGGGGGAGGAAAGGGGAAAAGGGACTCAAGGATACTACAGACAAGTAAGGGGGAAGGAGGGGGAGGAAAGGGGAAAAGGGACTCAAGGATACTACAGACAAGTAAGGGGGAAGGAGGGGGAGGAAAGGGGAAAAGGGGCTCAAGGATACTACAGACAAGTAAGGGGGAAGGAGGGGGAGGAAAGGGGAAAAGGGGCTCAAGGATACTACAGACAAGTAGGGGAAGGAGGGGGAGGAAAGGGGAAAAGGGGCTCAAGGATACTACAGACAAGTAAGGGGGAAGGAGGGGGAGGAAAGGGGAAAAGGGGCTCAAGGATACTACAGACAAGTAAGGGGGAAGGACGGGGAGGAAAGGGGAAAAGGGGCTCAAGGATACTACACAAGACAGGTTAGGGGGAAGGATGGGCTCAAGGATACTACAGACAAGTAAGGGGGAAGGAGGGGGAAAAGGGAAAACTCAAGGATACTACAGACAAGTAAGGGGGAAAGGGGAAAAGGGACTCAAGGATACTACAGACAAGTAAGGGGGAAGGAGGGGGAGGAAAAAGGAACAGGGACTCAAGGATACTACAGACAAGTAAGGGGGAAGAGAGGGAGGAAAGGGGAAAAGGGACTCAAGGATATTACATAAAAGTAAGGGGGATGGAGGGGGAGGAAAGGGGAAAAGGGGCTCCAAAATACTGCAGGCAAGTGAAGGAGGGGGGAAGAGGAAGCGGAAATATGGGATATGGGGTCAAGGATACTGCAGACAAGTAAGGGGGAAGGTGGGGGAAAAAAAGGGGAAAAGGGGCTCCAAAATACTGCAGGCAAGTGAAGGGTGGGGGGAGAGGAAGGGAAATATAGGATATTTGGTCGGTCAGGGACACTGCAGACAAGCAAGAGGGGGAAGGAAGGAGGGAATATGGGGTTAAGGATACTGCAGACAAATGAGGGGGGGAAGGAAGGAGGGAATATGGGGTCAAGGATATTGCAGACAAACGAGGTGGGAAGGAATGAGGGAATATGGGGTCAAAGATACTGCAGACAAGCGAGGAGGGAAAGGAAGGAGGGAATATGGGGTCAAGGATACTGCAGACAAGCGAGGAGGGGGAGGAAGGAGGGAATATGGGGTCAAGGATACTGCAGACAAGCGAGGGGAGAAGGGCGGAGGGAATATGGGGTCAAGGATACTGCAGACAAGGGAGGAGGGAAAGGAAGGAGGGAATATGGGGTTAAAGATAGGGATATGGTGGAATAAGATGGTAGCATGAGAAATACAGGTAATTTGGAACTTGGATTTGGAAACATTTGAAAAATGATTAATGGATGTCAAAATAACATTCATTGATTTATGTTAACATCTGGTCAACATAACTATGAATTCCATCGATTTCATGTCAAGAACACAATTGTCAGGTAGATAGGAGTCAACCTATATTACCAGGCATAGACAAGTTCAAGGGTGAATATGAGGGCCATGTAAGATATTAAGCATGGACTAATTCAAGGATGAATATGAGGGCGATGTAAGATATTAAGCATGGACTAATTCAAGGGTGAATATGAGGGAGATGCAAGATATTAGGCATGTACAAATTCAAGGGTGAATATGAGGGCAATGTATGATATTGATACCTTCTGAAAGTTCATAACTTACGGTGCTGTGTGAAATGATAAATCCTTGTTTCCTAAATTTTTTGTGTTGTATTCTATGCACTCTTCACCTTGTTGTCAAATTGTGATGTTATAAACACATTTATTGTTGATATTTATGATTCACTTTCTCAATTTTCATGAAAATTAATCAGATTGATTTGTTTCCGGGAAAATTAATTGCTACTCAAAGACATCCTGTACAATAAATGTTCCTGAAAGGTTTCCATTTTTTAACTACAGAAATATGACAAAAAAGGTGAATTTTTCTATAAATTAACATGACAGATAGGCTGCCAAACTCCAAAAAATTATTAATTAACCTTGTAATTAGTTGTTCGTCAGAGCCACAAGAGCACTTTATTGTGTTTATGGGAGCTGAAGCAAATGCAGTAAAAGGACATCATTTTATGACAAGAGATTTGAAGGGAGTAATTTGACTTAATAACAGAATTCAATAGGGGGAGATTTTTGATTTTTTGAATATTTGATGGAATAAAATTCAACTCAAGACACAACAGTGTGAGAGAAACAATGGAGTATATAATTCATTAGATATATTGTTTAGAAATTAACTTGAATTGTCTTAATTTATGATTAAATTTTAACATAATGTTCAATTGTTCAAGTAAAATTAATAACTTGTTCGTTATTGAAAAGGAGTTGTTGACTGTTTTGGGAATAAAAAATCTGAAATTGTACTCATGCAGGCAAATATGTAATAAATGGCCAATTCCATGTGATGAATGAGGTTGAAAATTGAACTTAGAGAGGGTCAGATTAAATCAAAATAAAAGAAATTAAGAGCTGAAAGGTCATATTCTGAATAGCTGTTCTTTCAAATTGAGGAGAAGTAACTTTTTGATTTGGAAATGGTTGATATTTCTGGGCCTTCAACTTCAGTAATATGGGTGTGTTGTAGTTCAATTGTTCATAATTTTTTCTATTCATGTTTTTGTTTACATAACTTTCTGAACTTTCATAAAGTGACATATATGTACAAATAAGGAAATACAGATGGGGTTCAGCAGAGTTTGTAAGGTCAAGATCACACTGTACCAATGTCATTCAGGTCACATGATTGCCCTAAATAGCTGTGAAAGTGTCAATTTCTATACCTAGAAATACTTGACAATTCATAGATAATTGAGATTGCAGAATTGGTTTAAATTAATTAAATTATATTAAATTCAGACAGTTGAAACTTTTACAGTTTATTTGTTAACCTTAGTTTATGCAGAATTATGCCTGATGACATATGTCAAAATTAGTCCTCCGTTCGGAAATGTCATTCCAAATTTCAACAGGTACATAATAGCAATTTCATTATATTTCCTTAATAAATTTGTTTGTTATAAACAGTCTTTTGTATTTCCAAATACATGCATCATATTGAAGTAAAACAGAATGAATTTCTGTCAAATTGATGCAGATGTATACTTATTAAATTACAACTGGTTTCTGTCACTGCTGAATACAGCAAAAATACATGTAGCAGGTGCATTCTGATAATGGCAGCATCAGTGTTAGGATAGATATATACTAATGGGAGGTTATCAAAAGATAATTCCAGTAAAGAGAAACACTTTCTTAAATCCTTTTTATTTGAAAAGTGGGAGCTTGAATATTTATTCAATTTCAATGAATACTGAAATTGTAGAGTGTGTTTCCATTTAAATCATAATTGATAAGTGTTAAAAAATGGTTCAGATCTATTAATAATTCTCTGTAGGTACATATACCATCATTACAGAATTAATTTTACTCTGCTAAAGAGGACACTAATTGTCTTACAAGTTTGATTCTGTTACTTTAATATAGAAAAAAAGAGAATTTGTGTCAGTTTTAATAGATTGATTTATAAAATAAAAGCTTCAGGTTAAATTCCAAAATGGAAGCACTGAGTTTATACATGTACCAGTCATTCTGATGTGCACTCTGAAATCAAGTTCCTTTAGCTTGTAGTAGCTGGTGGCCATCTCACTGAACAATATACAGGAGGCCCATTGCATGCCAATTGGGTCAATTAGGGATAAGTCTCTTGCTTGATTACACAACCACAAATAAAATCACAAACTAACCAGTTTCTCAGCTTCCTGAGAAACGCAGACAATGGAGGGCCATTGATATCAAACCACACACCTTGGTTATGTACATATGTGTTTCCATATAAACTTTAAACAAAGAGTAGTCAGGTGGTGCAGTGTTAATGCACTCACCTTCCACCTAGTCATCCTGGGTTTGGTTCCTGGGAAAGGTATGGGGTCACCAGTTGGCCGACCATTTGGGTGGGTTTTCCCAGGGTACACCAGTTTCCTTTCACAGTAAGATCAACCCTCCTTCCCTCCACACAGTTACATCTGAGCCAACAAGAATGATTGATCTGTGGTTTTGTTGTAAAATAAATAAAGTTTATATTAATATCTATAAAGTTCAACACTCTATCAACTGAGGTATCATGACCACCGTGGGCACATTGGGCAGATAACCACTGAAGATAAACACAGTTTTATGTATCAGAGATTGATTTTACTATTCTTGAATTGAATGTTTGTAAACTTCAACCTAAACCATATAAATGAAAACTTCATGATACCAGAACGTAGTAACCCGTTAAATCTTTTATACATCTTTTTATTTCGGTATTATTCTTAAGATTTAAACGTTTTTTAATGATTATCATTGCCGAAGATGAAATGGAATATTTGAAATCTTAGATGGAATTTCAAGATTTCAAAAGGTCAACTAAGAAATTTGTTGTTAGAAGTGTCAAATGTATAAACAGAACAATATCCTAGGGAACAACTAACTAGATCAATGATAGCCATTTTCTTTCAAAGCTGTCATCATTAAAGACCTGAAAATCTCCCATGATTACTGTATTTTACACAATTACATGATCACAAGAAACAAAATAGACAAAAACCCCACAAAATTCAAAACAACATTTCCAATACTTGACGTGAAAAGACATAAAGGGTTGAAAATTGACTGGAAAATGAGCGCTATAAAATATTAAGCCTTGAAATGAGGCACTGTGGGTTAACTTAACTTGCTGATAATGATCAACCTCATTGTGTAAATAACTTGTTGAAAAGTTAAAAACAGAAACATCATTACATCATTAATGTCTTTCCTCAGCCTCCAGTTCTAATGTAGTCATTTCAATTAAAGTGTGTATTCTTTCCAATGAAGACAGGAAAGGTGTTGGAAGTTTAAGTACCTCAGAAACGCGGTTAAGTTGGTGAGAACGTTTCCGTGATTGAGGTTCTCAACCAACGGATTTGCATCAACTCAGTGAAATACTAACAGTGTAGTTATAGGCTAGAAGTCATTTTGCATGTCCCCTTTACATGATTGTCTAAAACTTTACACAAAATTGATGATACAGTTTGTTTTATTACAGACTAATAAAACTGTATCTTTACAAGAAAATCAATAAGGTTCCAACAGCTCTATATATTGACGGGAAATCAATTTAATTATATCAGCTGTATCTTACAGTATACCAATTAAGTTACATCAGCTTTATCTTTACAGGAAATCAATTAAGTTACATCAGCTGTATCTTTACAGGAAATCAATTCAGTTACATTTGCTGTATCTTTACAGGAAATCAATTTAGTAACATTTGCTGTATCTTTACAGGAAATTGATTAAGTTACATCAGCTTTATCTTTACAAGAAATCAATTCAGTTACATTTGCTGTATCTTTACAGGAAATCAATTTAGTAACATTTGCTGTATCTTTACAGGAAAT